ATCTGTTATGTGAGTTGACTAATCCCAAGGCAACCACCTGTTTTGCAGATAGCTCGGAGTCACCGCATTTGAACCTCCATGACTACAATGAGATTTTTATTCCTCCTTAAATTTAAACCGACTTGATTGGACATGGCTTTCAAGAATCTTGAAACAAAGCATGATGCATTTGACAATGAGTTGATTGTTGTCTGCATACACACTTAACTTTGATACCAATTGATTCTGAATCCAAAAGATTCATAAAAAGCAACCATGTAATCAAGGACCCACCCATGAAAATGAAATAGATTCCATTTCTTTTTACTTATTAAAGGTGGATAAATATCGGTAAAAATGGGTTCGGGTTAAAACGAATTACTGTTAATTTGTTAGTAATATATATAAATTACCCATAGATTATCAAGTGATTTTTAAGAAATTTATAAGGTGAATACAGTTTACAACTGTTAACTGTAAAGTACCGACGAAAGAGCTACTTGTCGTTGATCTGTTAGTAATTGTGATAGTTTAGTGATAATAAGAGAGTATATCTGTAAAAAAATTACTTGTAAAAAGGGTCAATTTTGTCTTTTTATATGCTTAATTATGATTAAATCTTAACATAAATACAGACACATACATGGGGGTTGAGTTTCTATTTGCAGTTCATAAATCTTCGTCTACCTTAATTTCTCTAATTTTTTTAATACGATTGAAACTTTAATAAGTTCATGCATGTGAAAGTGGTTGAATATATGTACGAGTTCATGAAGGTAGTGACAGTAAATGTGAATAGTAAAGTTTATTAAGGTAGATGAATGTATGTGGTTTTGTCACCCAAAAGCTCACCTTCTCACGAAAATGTTGTTCTCAAATCCACCTCTCTCTCTCTCTCTCATATATATAGTCGGTTCAAACGAGAACAATGATTCAATAAGATAACACGAGAACTGTCGAATCACATGTGAATATACACTAGACTCGTGTAAAAAAGCACTTGTGATTATGTGTGAGGTTGTGGGTTGACTGTATTCCGTAATCGCATGTAATTTCAGTGTTGAATCACATGTGGAATCACATGTGATTTGGTTGTTCTCATGTTGATGAAGCAATCAATCCAAAAATAAATGTAAATGACTACTTTATAAAAGTTGAATACTCCCCATTCACAAATTCAACAATAATTGCATTTTGTGAAACATATCAATGACATTTTAATTACAAATGTCGATAAAAACATTATTTCAATATATGTAACCAAGTTATCATTTCTTCATTGACCTTTTATTTTATTGTGCAATTTATTCTTCACAATTTTCATAACAGAAATGTCATCTTAATTGTTGTAATTGCAAGTTACAGCCTATAACGTCAACGCTAATTTAATAAGCAAATTAATAAACCAGAAGAAACACACATTCTTTCAATCATTTTCTCCATCAAATCATCAATCCCTTTTAAATTTAGAAAATTTGTTTAAATTTATCTCTGAATGATACATCTTTAAAAAATTATCGTCATGGAAATAAGCAACTTATAACTACTTTCATCACAGCAGTGTTTACCAAGCGATTATCGGTTGTCATTTATCTTACGATTGAGAATGACAAAAATCGAGAATCTTACTCGAAATGACAAAAATCGAGGATATTATCCGATTAATGATGGAGAAAATTCTTACATGGTAAGCGTTTACTGGATAAAAGATGTTTACCAACAATCAGTTTTAGTGACTGAAACTGTCATCTAATAAGTAAGTGAGAGTGTTGACTTTTATCGATAAGTACTTAACTGTTTGGTAAAACGGCACTAAAAAATTCACCAATTTCATAAAACATGAATTGCAATTTTTAATAATTTTATGTTTTGCAATTCAATGATTATAAGAAGACTTTAGAAAGAAAGATAATAAGCATGCAAGTGCTTAATGAAAGAGACATAGAGGCTAAAAAAGTGGCTTAACTAGATATGATCAAGAAACAACCACGTCTGATTGGATTTAAGGGTGATGAGTTGGTCAAAGGTGCATTATTTATTGATTTTTACAAAGTTAAGTTATGTCTCGGATCACTTTGGCTAGAGTGGCTATTGTATATATACGGTGTTTGCACAATACAGCGAGATACATCTTGATTTTAATGTTTTGTTTTATCATGTCTTAATCGATATTATAATACGTTTTTATGAAATTTTGAGAAAACGATAATATTTTTATTTTTGAATAAAATATACGGTTTAAGATATCATAAAAATTTGAAAAAAAATATATATATCAAAATTAACATCAAATTAACTATCTAAAAGTTGTCGTTCTTTTGTGTAATTTATTTTTAATTTAATTTAAGGTTAATAATGTATTAATTTATTTTTCATTTAACAATATAATTTTTTATAAAGATAATAATTAAGTATTCTGTTAGAACTCAATTTAATTATTCTTATTATATTTTAGATTTTTTATATTTAGAATGAAATGTTTATTCTTTATTTGATTATGTTTATCTACAATTAGTTACATATAAATCAAACATAGAGTTTTAATAAGTTGTACTTACATACGATTTACTTGTAATCTTGAATTTTAAGTAAGTGCATCAATAAACAATACTTCATGCATAAAAAAATGGTTTTTAATAACAAATAATAAAGCAAGCAAGGGTGTAAGACTTTTTGGTGAGACTTAAACACAAATTCTAGCAGACCAGTGTTGTAGCAATGCTACAACATATAGTAGACCATAACTAGTTCCGCCATTTATTTTGAGGGTATTTCTCTCGGACTTTCAACTTTGGCATTAACATTTAGATTCAATCACACATCTTTGTGCAGGATCAGACTAGTGGTAATGGAGAATGAAATCCTCAAAATATATGGATAACAAATCTCTTGTATAAAATCACTCTCTCGAGCGGATTATCATATTATTCAAGTTGGTGTGTTCTGAATGGCTCATCTCTAAGTCCACTCCACTTTAACATTTCAATGAGTGACCAACTTGCTGAGAATTAACCAATTTGGAAAACATAGATAACATATCTCTTTGTTAGTAACTTTCTCAAGTCTACTTCTCATATCATTCAAATTGACGTGCATTCCAGTGGATCATCTATGTGTCCACAACACTTTAACGCTTTTTAAAGTGATCAACGTCAATAAGTGTCATTGGTTTTATAAAACTTGAAATGATATAGTAGAACGTTGTTATTACAAAACAGCATTCGCCTTCCTTTGGTTTAAAATCTCACATTTCCGTCTCACACTCAAACTAATAAGATTAGCTACTTATAACGGAAAATAAATTGCAAGAAATGTAAATGACAGAAATTAAATGCTTAAATATAAATGACTGAAATTAATAGCGTAATGTAAAAAACGGAACGCATAAGTAAAGAGTGTAAACTCTAAAGTGATGTAATGTGAAGAACGAGATGTAAAAAAATACCACAATTAATATTAAAATAAAAGCATAAGTTAAATGACTTCTAAATATTTAACACAACCAGAGTAGATCTAACTATGGATCATGCATAAATAAGAAGTCAATCCCCTCTATTTATACTAATCCTATAGGGGTAGAAAAGTAAAATCACAACAGTAAACCATCATGTCCAAAGTACAAACAAAGTCAACTAATGAAACAAAAAGCTAAAAACAACCCTAAACCAACTATTTCCAACTACAATTTATGAAGGTTTCTCAAAAGTTCCCAACCTCCATCTCCAACTGTTGCCTTATGCTACAGAAATGCTTCAGCACGAGTGATTTGTCAAAATAAGCAAGTTAACCATCTATTTATCCTAAAAGCAAGTAAATCATAACATTTAGTTCCAAAAATAGTAAATGGAAAATCAGAAGATAAAAGACTCAAAGTTGGTATGTAAATAGGAAAATAAGTTACTTTAGGTAAAGAGACAAGTGTGAAAACACTAAATAATTATTGCACTTCAGAATTGTAAGAAGAGATCTGAACTCTTGATTATTTTTAATCTCATGTTCACCTATGAATTGCGCTTTAGAAGAGAATCGATTCGATCATCTCAGTGCACCTCATTGTTTCAATTAAGATTGATTCAAAGGTAGAGATTTCTTTTTAAGCTTCTCATCATGACTTCTCTTTTCACCAGAACTCAACCCTAGAAAAATGATTACCATGCGATCCTCGTAAAAAAGAAAAATCCAAATTTCACCACAAAACAATAGTCTTTTATTGACAGATCAATATTAGAGGCGAATTACCAGCAGATACTCTACTGCAAAAAAAATACAATTGGTCATCACTGGCAGATCCGCTAATGATTTTTGTAAAATTTAATTAAAATTGGCTAAAGAATTAATTAAATCTTTAATTAAAATCAGCGATAGAAACGACCGTCGGTACTTTTAAAGATCAGGAATAATTAAATTTATCGACAGATTTGTGACGGAAGTCAATACATCCAGCTAAAAAGTCAATTTTTGTTGAATCGTCGGTAATCCGCCACTGAATCAATAGCGAAAAATTTCATAGATGAAAGTCATTTTTTAGTAAGTATTTATGAAGTATTTACAGTATTAATATGGTTTAATATTTATCAGTTAATTTTATATATTTCAAGCATAAAACTTAAAAAGGATTATACGAATATAATAAAATAGTAAACTTAATCACAAAGGTGGTGTCTGATTAGTTTGAGCTTGGCTCCAAATGTCAAAAGTACCTGGAGGTCTCAGGTTCAAATACAAGGAGGAATAAAAATCTCCTTGTGGCCATAGAGATTCAAATGCAGTAACTCCAGGCTATCTGCAAAACAGGTGGTCGTCCTGGGATTAGTCGACTCGCATAGCAGGTTGGATGTCCAGGTTAATAAAAAAAAATTGTAAACTTGAATTTTAATAAATTATATATTAATAAATCCATATAATTTATTTATTTAAAAAAAATAAGCAACTAAACATTAATGATTAAACATTTGCCTATAAAACCCCATCCATGCATGCCATAAAACCCCACCAATATACCTTGATACCACAAATCATCCATGACCTACTTGCACAAAATGGGTTCGACCCTAGCCAGGACCATGGTCACGCTCATGCTACTACTAGCCATGGTCTATCGAGCCACTTCACGCACCCTCGATGACCGAGCCATGCTCGTTCGGTACCAGCAATGGATGGCTGAGCACGGTCGTGTTTACACCAACAACGAAGAACAACAACTCCGGTTCCAGGTATTTAAGGACAACGTGGCGCTTATAGACGCACATAATGGAAATCCTGATAAAAGCTTTACGCTCGCCATCAATAAGTTTGCCGATTTAACGAGCGACGAGTTTCACGCTTCCCGGAACGGTTACAAACGACCACCTTCGCGTGCGTTCTCGGGTTTATATCGGAACACTGACGTAAGTGCGGTCTCGGGTTCATATCGGTACGCTAACGTAAGTGCGGTTCCGGGTGAAGTCGATTGGAGAAAAGAAGGCGCGGTAACCCCCGTTAAGGATCAAGGCGATTGCGGTAAGTCTATTTTTTTCATTTTCATACAGTGGATTCCAGTTATTAATGGAAACAGTCATTCTACTCTTTATAATAGAAGTCAGATTTGCATACATCATTACATCTCGTAACGGGATTTACTGGACATGCTTTGTTTATGTGGATTCCACTAATGCACGGAATTTTTCATTCGTTCGTTGACGTGTTAACGTATTTTTCTTCGAATTGAAAACAGGATGTTGTTGGGCGTTTTCGGCGGTGGCGGCCATGGAAGGGATGAACAAGCTCAAAACCGGAAAATTGATCTCATTATCGGAGCAGGAACTCGTCGATTGTGATATCGAAGGAATCAATCAAGGATGTGAAGGAGGTCTCATGGAGTACGCTTTCAAATTCATCGAAAAACGAAAGGGGTTAAGCGCAGAGTCGGTCTATGCATACACAGGAGAAGATGGGATCTGCAACACCAAGAAAGCTTCCATCCCGGCGGCGACAATCTCCGGCTACGAACAAGTTCCGGCGAACAACGAAAAGGCCCTGCTGCAGGTAAGCAAATCGTTGTAGGAAATAAACGAGTGAATATTTGAAAAGAATTTATTTAAAAGAATAAAATATTATAAAATAAAAAAAGTAAGGTTAACACCAATTTCTTTTTCTAGATTTATTGATTTATTGAAATTGTATTTTTTTTTTTCGGGGTGTTTAGGAGTGTTTATAAAAACAACTTATTGACTTATTTCGATATGACACCGGTAGTAAATACTTTTGAGTGTTTGAATAAACAGCTTATACCAATGTCAAACCGGTAATAGCAAGTTTTTTAAGAAGTTAAATCAATCTAACTTATAATAAGTTGATAAACACTTTTATAAAAAAAACATAAATAGTTTCAAATAAGCAATCCCAAACACCTCCTAATAACACAACCAATCGCAATTTGCAAATGCACCTTTAAGGCGGATCAGAAGCCCATAAAGTCATCTGATATGTTTAGTCAGAAATTTCACCATTTCAGTGGATTTTTTTGTTGATTTCTGGTTTTTAAAGGTTTTTTGGTTGATTTCGAAACAATTTTTTTGGTTTTTTGGTTTATATATTTTAGTACACCCCTCAAAGTTTAGCATATACACCTTTTACAAACTCAAAATAATTCTATTCGCTAAAATCAGTTGAAGTGTTGAACAGATATATGGACCCAGTTGGGGCCGTTATCTTATACCAACCAGTCAACCATCTTCGATCATGTTTTTCATTATTTAAGAATTTTTTAAATAATAAAAATTAAGAAACTTCTAGAAGTTTTGATCCTTTAAAGATTTATGTCATGTGTTCTTATTGGACTTTTTCTATTAATAAATCTTTTAGGGATTGTTTATCAAATACTTACCCGGTAAGTATTTATCGATAAAATTTAACATTATTATTTACTTGGCGGGTACGATTGTAATCCATCAAAACAACAACATATGCAACAATTTACCCGGTAAGCATTTACCGTGGTAAGAGTCGTCGTCCTCACTTGCCGGGTAAGAGATCCTTGTCACGCTCTTACCGGGTAATATTTTTTGTCCTTAACATATTTATCCGTTGAGATAATATTACTTGGTAAATACTTACCTGGATAAGCGTTTGGTAAACGGCCCATTAATTTATTGCATCAATAATTAGCTATTTTCCTAGATCACAAATATCATAAAATACATATTATTATATTAACTATAAAATACTATATTCGAAATATATTATAAAAATACGTATTAGTTCACATGAAGCCTTCGGCAATGATGTTAATGGTTGATTGTATAAGATCCGAACTCTTCGAATTTAATGTCATTGGTTTCTTTACTGGTGTAGGCTGTCACACATCAACCTGTATCGGTTGCTCTGGATGCAAGCGGATATGGGTTCCATTTCTATTCGGGTGGGGTTTTTGATGGGATATGTGGAACAGAGCTTGACCATGCTATAACTGCCGTCGGGTATGGGACCACGACAGATGGAACCAAGTACTGGCTCATGAAGAACTCATGGGGTACATCATGGGGAGAGAAAGGGTATATACGAATGAAAAGAGATGTCTCTGCAAAAGAAGGATTATGCGGTATCGCCATGGATTCGTCATATCCTATTTGAAATATACATATACATACATACACACACAAGTGTGTGTATTTATCTGTGTATTTGTTATTTAAATTAAGATTGTGTTTGAGTAAGTGTATGGTTTTTATATCATTTGATGATAATTGTTTATAAGCATTGTAAAGCTCAAAAGAAGCTGATATAACTGTATATATGATTGCTTTATTTCAGTTACTGTTATTTGACGATTTCCTTCTATAAAATCTGTATTTCTTCTGTCTGATAAAAGAACTAGAAAAATATATGAGATTCATAATAATTTCAATCGAAAATATTGTTGGAATGACCAGTTTGTGACGCCATATGATGATACGAGCATGATCAAGTTTGCTTCCATTCACTATTTATAACGGAAATTTTCTAGCAAATTTTAGATTATCCGTTAAGATTAAGTATAGCGCAAATGGTAGAACGAAAATGGCCATTATAACTGGACTAATTCTCCATATACATGATTATTAATTAAAAACGTATCTCTCTCATTATTATGATTCTGGACGAGTGATCCACGTGTTTGCACAAATCAAAAAAAGTCAACGGTTCAGCTATTTCTTATGAGTGGTTGATTTTTGTGACGATTATTATGCAACTATGAAAACATATATGCATAAAATGCATTTATATCAGTAAAGTTTTCATAACAGATTAAGCAAAATAACATAAATTCATTACAAGTCTAATTGATAAAAGCCGACAGAAATATAGTATTTATATGTATTAAGTGTAAAACTAGATCGAAGAAACGAAGAATTTCTTGGGAATCCTACAAGATCCGTTCGTGACAATTGTCCTATGAAGACTCGCTTTCGGTATGGCTCCAGTGGGTTCCCTTACCCTAAGGGGTTGTTTGACAGTTGCTGAATGGTTTGGTACAGAATGATTAAGTAGTCAGAATGATTAAGATGCTCTCATGATATAGTGCAAAATGAAATATTATTGTTTGGTAATTGTTTGCAATGAAAGTAGGGTGCTTAATGGTTAAGTGAGGCTCATGATACAAAATCATTCAGCGGATTTTAAAATCATTAAGAGACAGACATTTTTTTTGTCAAACAAAATTCACCTCTTAATGATTCATAGATTGCTTCTTAATTGAACTATTAAAAGTTAAACAAACAACCCCTAAATGATTGCTCAGTGATAAAGGAGGTAGGGGATACAGAGACAACCAGAAGGTTTGCTTAGAAGCAGCTACCCTTGAAAGAGTGCATAATTTCAAAATATTAATTAAAGAGGAATACTAATCATATTATTCCCTTGTCAACGTTCATAATATGAAGTAATAGAACGTTTGAATAAGTTATTGTGAATGTGACAACGATTTATTACACACGAATTAAACATTTATAGAAAACAAGATGATATTATAGAAGCCATATTCACATGAAAGAACCAAATATTCACAACGAATAATAAACTTTCAAGCAGACTTGATTTTGAATGTTAGTGATTTTTATATGAAAGTAATATGTATGGATTTTAAAGATCCGGTTAAAAAATTAAAGAAAATAGAAGGGTACTCGTGCAATGTAACGAGATACATCTTGATTTTAATATTTCATTTTATTTTTTATCTCAGTCGATGTCATAATATGGTCTTATGTGATTTTGAGAAATCGATAATTTTTTATTTTTGAATAAAATATAAATTTGAAGATATCATAAAATTTTGACAAAAATATATCGATATTAGTATCAAATTAACGATTTAAAATTCCTCGTTTTTTGTGTAATTTTTTTAATTCAATTTTTTTATTATAATTTAATTTAGACACAATAACAAAGTAATTTATATTTGGTTTAAGAATATAATTTTCTCATAAAATGAATAATTAATTATTATGTTAGAACTCGATAATTATCCTAATTTTATTTTAGATTTTTTATATATTTTAAAATGAGATGTTTATCTTCTATTTAATTATGTATATCCGCAGTTAGTTATATGAATTCGAACATCGAGCTTTAATAAGTTTTATTTATGCATAACTAGAATGGTACTCGCGCAATGCAACGAGATACATCTTGATTTTAATATTTTATTTTATTCTTTATCTCAGTCGATGTTATAATATGGTCTTATGTGATTTTGAAAAAATGATGATATTTTTATTTTTGAATAAAATATAAGTTTGAGGATATCATAAAATTTTGACAAAAGTATATAGATATTAGTATCAAATTAACTATTTAAAATTCCTCATTTTTTGTGTAATTTTTTAATTCAATTTTTTTATAATTTAATTTAGGTACAATAACGAAGTAATTTATATTTGGGTCAATAATATAATTTTCTTATAAAGATAATAATTATTTATTTTGTTAGAACTCGATAATTATTCTAATTATATTTTAGTTAAAATGAGATGTTTATTCTCTGTTTGATTATGTTTATAAGAAGTTAGTTATACGAATTCAAAACATTAATAAGTTATAATTATGTATAATTTATTTGTAATCTTGAATTTTAAGTAATATGCATTAATATACAATACTTTATGCATAACAAAAATATATCGATATTCGTATCAAAATAATTATTTAAAAATCCTCATTTTTTGAATAATTTTTTAATTCAGTTTTTTTTATTATAATTTAATTTAGGTACGATAACGAAGTAATTTATATTTGATTTAATAATATAATTTTCTTATAAAGATAAGAATTAATTATTTTGTTAGAACTCGATAATTATCCTAATTATATTTTAGATTTTTTA